ATGCATAAGAGTCAGCAGAAATTTTGCTGTTCCAGTATTCAAAGTGAGCATAAGCCAAAACTACTGAAGTTTCCTAACTTGAACATTCAAGTACCCCAAGTGACTTTCAAGACAAACAAGACCAGTTGATCCAACTCTAATAAGACATCTGATTCTCCAGCATCTGCCCAGGACTTAATATTGAATGGAAACTATATATATATATATCTTGAATATTCACTAAAAAGCTCCCAGTCCATTCATTAAAAGCTTGTACCTCCCCATTAAGAACACCACAGCATAGAAAGCTCTGTTAAACTAGTTACCTTCCATCGAGTGGAAGGTAACTGTTCCCTTTTCTACACACATACTCTTCCTCCCTCCCCTTCTTTATATGTATTTCTCTGTTATTAGAATTGGGATCAAAAAGTTATGAGGAATGGGAGGCAGGTAAAGGGAAGAAAAAGAAATAGCATCAAAGAGAAAAAAGCAGTTAACTAATTCTTAATTGAAGGGAATGCCTTGCACTAAAAGAAAACTCGATTGATGGCAAAGCAACACAATTATTATGGACACATTTAATATCCAAACATTTACAGCTACCAATATATAATGTTAATTTCATATCAGAAATGTATTATTTATCTTCCCCTATCAAAACTTCATTCAAAAGGAGAGGATTCTATATTTAAACAAAATAAAATAGAGCCCAGGGGTAACACTATTTGAACATCTCTCAAGGTAAGATATGGATTGCTTCAACAAACAAAATAATGAATTACACCAACCAAATCCATGTGGATTACTGTCCATATCTGTATTTCTATCAATATTGGCAAAGTTATTAATTTTGAGATAAAAACAATGTTTTAGGCATAACGTCATGTTATTTGAAACTGTTCATTAAATATTGGTCCAGTCACACCCCAAGTATATTTGGATATGAAACATTTTGTTTGACTTTCAAGTAAAACCTCTCAACACCCTTTAGGAGCTGGAGTCTGTTCCAACTTGCTAACCAATACAATGTTATAGCAGTCATTTCAATCTTCCTCTTCAAGTATTTTATAGTTTCAAAAATTGAATAGTTACTTTTTTTTGCAATTATATCTTAATATTGTACTTAACCAGCAACAAGGGCCTGATGGTGAAAGGAAGAGGTGCCAGATCTAGTGTGGTGTAGTAGTTAAGGGCATGGGCCAGGACTCAGGTGATCTGGATTGTAGTCCCTGCTCAGCCATGGAGCCAACTGGGTGACTTTGGGCCAGTCACAGACTCTCAGGCACAGGCTCTCAGCTCAATCTATCTCACAGGGTTGTTGTGAGGATAAGACTGAGAGCAGCAGGAGGAGAATGATATAAGCCACTTTGAGTTCTTTAAAAGAAAAGGGTGAGATATAAATCTAATAAATGAATAACAAGGTTCCATAATTATTACGTAAATTCTTGTCAGCAAATGCCTACTTAAAATATCAGAACAGATGTGACAACTGGACAAAACTCAGAAACTGAAAATCACTCCAATAATTTCTGGTGGTTAAATGTTGACAGAAATGAATAAAAATTGAGATTACTGAGAACAAAGTAAGACATCTAACATATTCAGAGGAACCCTTAAAGTCTGGAAGAGTACAAAAACTGTTAGAGCATGGCTGGCTGGCTGGAATCCTGAACAAAAGCACTCCTCCTGTGAAGTGTTGAAAAACTGCAACACTTCTTGAAAGTCCCACTTATGTTAGATATTGGAAGTTATGCTGAGCACAAAAACAGAAATGACTTGATTGAGAGTGATATACTCAGTGAATGACAAAGACACAAGGCATTGCATATCAGGATATTACACCAGGAACAGAGTGAGAGGAAAGACAGAATACATTTAGTTTAGAAGCACAATCAATTGATATATTAATAAGGTGAATTATGTATATGCCAACTGAAGATTTAATGAAAGTGAAATATGAACAAGTTGAAAAATGGATTGTCAAACTTGCTGGAAGTATGCTGTTTTCATACCCAAGAGACTCCATACCCAAGACTCTTTGGGTTCAAGTTTCAAGGAAGCCAACCTTGATAGATGACCAATTGCTAACCACAGTTTGGACTGGTGGCCACAAAGCAGAAACCAAATTCTACTACATTAGCACGCAATATTAAACCATAGTTTATGTTAACCATTCTTTTAAGTAAGTGTTGTTTTACAAAGGAACTAACAAATGCCATCATGTCCATTTTGCCAGCCTTCAGAGCAGTACGATTTTCATGCTGATCTTGCCAGGTGCCTGTTTCAGGGTGGATAACAACACAAACTAGCAAGGGATAAGTCTGGCTTACTTGTTCTTGATGCCAGTATCTCAACAATCTACCATTTAAACAAACCAGATCTGGCAATCCAAGAACACAACCTGAGTTCAATTTGTGGATTATAGCTGATTGACAATCCATGGCTTGTTTGCAGGGATGGGTTCAGACACAATGGCAAGCAAGATTATAATTAACCACAGCAAGGCTTAGTATTATATGGGAACTGAGCCAATCTCTTCTTCTGGCCATGCTGAAGGAAGAGAACAAGGAGAGGCATTGGGCAGACTTAGCTTGAACAAGACTTAATTTGAAAGAAAAATAATAAAAAATAAACTGGCTGACAGAATAAAATACAGGAGCACATTACCAAAGCCTCATCATAAGTGTTATGGGCTAGTGAAGTATTACTCTGAAATATCTTAAATGTCAAGTTTCCATATTGTTAGCCTATCTTTAATATTTTCCATTTCATTGCCTATTACAATAATACAACAGAACTAAAAATAAGTGATTCCTATTCCCATTGATTAAAAATGGTCCCAACTAATTAATCAAAGCTTTTGTTTGTTTTCCAAACTACTGATTAAAAGTGACAGCCCTATTTTAAACCAAGACTCATCATGTATACAGCCAAAACTGAAATATGCTTTTATGGAAGTATCTGAGGGTTTTAGTAAAGCAAATAACTGATTACTCAAAATAGTTTTATGTTCAAAATCTGCCAAAATTCGAAGTGGCAGGTAGAGCTCCACAGAAATCCAGTGCTGCTGATCAGGAAACAGGGCAACCAAATGGAATCTCTGTAAATGAATTTCTTACATTCTTAGTTTCAGTTAGCAATGCCTTCAAATTACCTCTTTTCATTAAAGGTACTCCCTGGGGTGCTAAAAATCACTAGTTAAAGTAACATATTTACAGCCCTCATACACATTCAAGATTTTTTGGAACCAGTGTATTATTGTACAATTAAAATACTGAGTAAAAATGTGCTCTCAATAGCACATTGAATGGCTGATAAGAGTTTCTAATTTAACCTGGATAAGCAAGTGCACTTACCACACAGGAGACAGATTTGTTCTTGTAAGCATTTAATCTGACTCATGTGTAATTTATTTAAGCATAGTCAAACCAACTCAACTCCCAGCAAATGGAAAATTCCACTTAAGCTGAACTGAAAGTATTCAAAGCCTAATTAGAATGTTTAAAGCCCAGTGATATATTGTTTAAGACGAGAGGTAAAAAACTCAGATCAACAACTAATTGCTACTATATTCTATTTGTACAGGTCAAGCATGTCTTTGAATGTGCATTATACTCAGAAGCAAGCAAGTTCTGGCCAACAGAAAAGGCAAAGGGATCTGCCACTGTACATAATCAAGAAATCTGAATGGAACCCGTATAATAAGAAAACCCATTTTTTGTTGCTCTCCTCTGAGCACACCTCATGGTCTCACTTTCCTTTATCAGACAGAAATGTGCCAGATGTAGGGAAAAAAGATTTCCTGGTTTTTTAAAGATATTTTTATTTATTAGTTAGTTATAGCCCACCTTTTATCTTCTCACAAGGAGGCCAAGGGGCTTACATGGTCCTTCTCTCCATTTTATCCTCACACAAACCCTGTGATGTTGGTTAATTTGAGAGTCAGTCAGTCAGTCAAAGAAACCTCTGGCCGAGTACAGACCAGAACATGGAACTCTCAAGTCCCAGCTGAACATTCTAAGCACTGCACCATGCTGGATCTCTTTCTGTCCTGCTCTTGCAGTAATATCCCATGTGAGGGGCTAATCAAGACCACACCTGCTCACCTTCAAAAATGCTTGCAGCTTCAGATGCTCCTGAGCTACTCATTGGGATCAGGGAGAGAAAGAAAAGACTTTTGTACTATTGGGTCGACTTATCTTATTACACTGAAGACTCAAAGAGATGTGCTATGCACATGCATCCTATCAAAATTCAGGGCCCATCTTGATAAGGATTCAGATTCTGAGGTTGAAGGAGAGATTGTTCATCAAACAGTCCAACCTCAAGACAAGCCTCAAGATCTTGGGACCAGGCAGGGGTTCCTACAGGAAGAGATTAGTATAAGAACACCTGAGCAAGCACAGCAATTCTCCCCTGGGAAAGTTGAAGAGTTATTACCCCCAGGATGGGATGCTGAAATGGCCAGATCCTCCAATGGGGAGGCCACAGTCCTCGACTCGGTGCCAATTTTGGCATGATGTCCACTTGGCGGCACAGGAGGAGGAGCATCAAGATGCCCAGTTCAGCAGTGACCCTCCTGCAGGGCTGGCACACAGAAGGGTTCATAAGGGAAGCTATTGATAATAAGCAGTAGATAGGGTTGAACATTTCACTCTATGTATGCTCAGAGACTTTGTGTATTAGCAATAAAGATTATTAAGTAAAGAAACACTGGTGCAGTAAGAGGGTGACAAATGGATTACAACAAAATGGATAATGCTCTTAGCACTTTTCCTTAGCATATTATACACACAATGCTGTAAAACTGTATTTCATTCAACAACACAAGAGACCTCAGCTTCTCTCATTCAGATAGAACATGATGTACTGGATCACAGTTGCTCTTTAGTAGTAGAAAAAAAATGTAGTGACTAAATAAATGAAAACACACTTTGAATTAAGAATAATTCTGTAACTAAAGCAACCTGGAGCATTTCCAAGGAAAATAATGTATTTATGAAATGAATTATGCAACTCACCTTAAAATAAATGGAACAAATGGAGCCATGCTAAGGGCAGAAAACGCACCATCCATTGGTGATGGATACAGCTTACTCAAGATCAGAAGCAAAAGGAACAAGCTTGGATGGAGTTTCATTTCACTAGTTTCACTACATTAGAAAAATGAAGTTTGTTAGAAGCATACATTAAAAATAACTGCTTAAACTTGTAGCTACCTCATGACCGACCTACCTGATGCTACTAGACAGTTAAATAATTATAACAGCATTAAACATGAGAAATATTCTCCATGCAATAAAGGTATCAGCAGTTCACTATAGATCTTTAATAGTTCAACAGTTGTTTGAGTCACTGAAGAAATTAATGTTATGATCCATATCTCTTTAGGCCAGGGCCCCGCAACCTGTAGCCCCCAAGATCATTCTGTGCGGCCCTCCAATCTGCTTATTTACTGCTGTCATCCTCAAAGCATTTTCCCTCAGACCCACACGTTTCTTCCTGCTTCAAGCAGCACCATCTATTGCTTTTTTCCTGTCCCTTTCCTACAAAAGATACAATAGCAACATTCTTTCTTCTGCTTCCCATGGCTCTTTCTGTCAGCCACCTCTCGGTCTTACCCTCTATACTAGCATTTTGGCAATTCTGAGTGCTTTGCTAGGCAGCAGAGCTCAGGCACCCAACCGCTCACCCAACCCCCTCCCCAGGCATTACCATGTGGAAGGCTATATATGTGTCTAAGGAAGATAAAGCAGCTGTGTGGATGGGTACAGGAGGTGTCTGGCCTGATTTTGCAAAAAAGGGGAGGAAAAAGAGATGTATCCTATTTTTGCAAAAAGGATACAAAGTGCTTTGCATGCTGAACCCGCAACAAGAGCTGGTTGCTCTGACTTTCTGCCTTGCTTGCTTTTGCCTCTCCGCCCCCACCCGCTCCAGCAAGGAGTCTTCTCATGCATCTGTGATTGCAGGAGCTGTTGAGCAGCCCCTTGAGCAGGGTTGAGAGGAAGGAGGACTCTCTTAGCAGGGAAGCTTATGGGATTCCCCTTCCCACATCTTCTTCCACCAGCCAAGTCCCCTTCCCCCTGGCTGCCCTTTTGATTCTCATGATCAAGGTCTGGTTGGCAGGCAGTGATGATGTGCACCCTACATATAATTTGAAGCCAACTTAATGGCATAACCTCTGCTCCAAGTGGAAGGCTACCCTTTCATTCACCCATTCTCTCTACCTGCCCTTTTTTAAAAGTATTAGCACGTGTAGATCTAAACCTCAAGGCGGTGTGTTTATTAAGAAATAATTCTCATAGTATTCAATGTACTTAGGACTGCAAGCCTGCCATCTGGTAGGACAGAGTCATAATCCATTTAAAACAAATTATTCCTAGCCTGTGCATATGGCCCAATCTTCCTGAGAACTGTAGAGGCAAGAGTCTCTTCTCTTCTTTGCCATGGTCAAAATCAAAGTCCCCAACTAACAGCAGTGAAGCAGGGCGGATTTGATGAGAAAGGGAAGAGTTAGACCCCTAGAACTATACTTCTCATGTTTTCATGTATTCAAGGGTGATATTGAAACTCTAACAGCTGCTCTGCTAACAATTTTGTAAGATGACTGCAAAAGAAAGTGCTGTTTAAAAGAAACAAAAAATTACAGATGAGCACCGTGTCTTTAATGACAAATGGACTACTGAGTACTTCTTTGTTTTAAACAAGGATAAAGCAGTTTGCTTGATATGTCTTCAAACTGTCTCAATATTTATATCAAGGAGAGGTGCAAGTGAACAAGATACATTCTCTTAAAAATCAATGTTTTTGCAGCAAGATAGTTTTAGAAAGCATGTTGAGGAGAACCTGTCCATCAGGGCCAGCTATCATGTTGCTAAATGTATTGGTAGCCCATTCACTGATGGTGAATTTATTAAGTGCACAGTTAAGGCAATGGAGGGAATGTGCCCTGATAAGGTATAATGTGTTAGTTTATCTGCATCTACAATCACCAGTCATGTTGAAGATGATGTCATTTATCATCAAGACAAAAAAATGGTTTTTTTCTCTATCTTTGGTATTAGAGGAAAACAATGACAATACAGACACGGCTCAACTACTAATATTGATCAGAGGGATATATTCTAATGTCAGAATTACAGAAGAGTTGTGCGCACTGCAGAGTTTGAAAGGCACTACAATTGCAGAAAACATTCTTGAAGGTGTGTGGATCAGTAGAAAATCTTGGTCCCAGTTGGAATAAATTGAAAAGCATCACAATTATGGTGCAGGAAATATGGTGGGAAGTAGAACTGGTATAGTTGCAAGAATCAATGGAGAGATATTGAAATTAAATGATATACTTCCCATTCAATTTCACTGCATCATCTATCAGCAAGCCTTGCATAGTAAGGTTCTTCAGTGGGAAAGTGTGATGCATATCATTGTATCCAATGTTAATTACATCAGGCATCATGGCCTTACTCATTGTGAGTTTCAAAATTTTCTCTCTGAGATAGATGCAGAACATGGACACGTATTGTGCCTTGCAGAAGTCAGATGGCTTAGCAGAGGCAAAGAGATCAAACATTTTTGCAGTCGTTGTTATGAAATTGATGTCTTTCTCAAGGAGAAAGGAAAAGGTCAGGAAGCACTTGCTAACCTTGGATGGATTTTCGATTTGGCTTTCCTAAATGATAGCATCTGAACACATTGACTCTAAGATTGCAGGGAAAAGGAATGACATGTATTCCAAATTGAAAGCTTTTTTTTGTGAAGCAAGTTAGTGAAAGTAACTTTTCAAACTTCTCATGCTGCAATGAACTACAAGTTGACAAGGATGGAAATTTACAATCCAATGTTGAAAGACACATCAAAAACCTGAACCTATTGCAGGTGAAATTCCAGAATAGATTCACTGATTGCACTAAGCATTGAAAGGAAATAAGAATGTTTGAGAATCCATTTGAAGTAGCACCAGAATATGCAAGTAACTTTTTTCAGATTGATTTACAAACCAGTGATTATCTAAGAGACAGTTACAAAGAAAATAGTCTGTTAGATTTCTATTGTGGTCTAACCGATATATTAATCAACCTAAAGACACTTGCTGCAGGAATGTTCAGTCTTCGGCACCACATACATCTGCTAACAAACTTTGTCCAAGATGAAAATTGTGAAATCCAAGTGTAGGTCAAGACTTACAAACGAACATTTACATGGAATTTAAAGGGTGTCTGTCAACAAACTTGACTTGTTAAAGCCTTGGCTAATGGAACACAGCTAAAAAAATCACATTGACTAGGTAAGCATGTCTAGCTAGATAAAAGGATTGCACAGTAAGATACTGTTTCAAAATGGATTGCATTCAAGTTAACAATTTTTCACTGACCTTTGAATGTTTACATCTGATCTAAATTGGTACTGTAGGTTAATAATTTTGTTACAATTTGATTTAGGATGTGACCCTCTCTAGGCATTGGGCATTCTAATACAGCCCCCATGCCCCAGAAGGTCAGGGGTCACTGCTTTAGGCAATCCATGCATTATTTTAAAAGCACTTTAAAAGTGATAAAAGCACTTTAAAAGTGATAAAAGTGAAGAAAGGCAAGAAATAGAAGTTAACAAGTACCACAATAGCAAATATACAATATACTTATAAATTGCCCTGAGGATATTTACCAGTTGGATGGGAAATAAATTAAATAAATATCACTCTCAGATGCATAAGCTAATTATAACCTCATATTAAACTAACACTGAAGAGAAAAGACTTCAACATTCACCTGAATGCCTTCAGAAGTCCCACAGTTATGGACCATGATGCTTCTACATTCTCTCTTTTCAAACACAAAAACATAACTAGGAAGCTTTTTATCTTATCTTTTAAAAAATCCTTAATACAGAAAAGCTGAACTGTAACATGACATGCATAAAAGGTGTGGCTAGAATATAGGTAAGTATCACACTACATTGTGGTGTTTGTCTTGCAGGATTTCTTTATAATTTGCTGGTGGCTCTAGTAATGTAAGAAGTTTCAAACCCAAAACAGATATATGTTTTTGTGTACTTGCTTAGATTAATACCCAGTATGTCTAAACAGATTTTAAAATCAAAGTGCCATCTTTTTATATTTAAAGAGTATTTGAACAACAGGAAAGCAACAAACTGCTTCTTTAAAAAAACAGTTCTACCAATTTTTCTGCACTGCAACACTGAGAGCCCAAATATTTGGTGGATAACAATGAATGCTTTGTTTTACCTGTCCACTGAACTGGCTGCTAGTTCCAATTGACTGAGCAAGAATGGATAAAGGTTTGGAAACCGAGTGAAGAACTCCCTCCCTGTCATTCTGTAGAAGAGGAAAAACATTTAGCAATACTTAATAACATGATAATTTTAAGACAAGATGCTTAATGTACATGTGCAATTCTTCTATTGAGATATCACTTCTTTAAAGAAAATGCACAAAACGCCATTTCACCATGTTTTTATGTACCAGGTCTATGGATAGGTATGTGATCCTGCAGAAGGGTTCTTTCATTCATCTGAGATCTGTCCCCCCCTCAGCTGTTGTTGGACTCCAACACCAACCAGCAATGGTCAGGGATAATGCGGGTTTTAGTTCAACAATATTTGAAGGGCCACAGTTTTCCAGCCTCCTGATAGAACCCATAGATCATTTGACCACTTCTGACTGTTGTTAGAAGATAACATGATCACTCTATATGGAAATTTTCTAGAACACAGAAGGCTAGATGCCAGGGACAGGTGTTCCAGCTTAGGCTTCTCAATCTGTCCTTCAGCCATGTGATTTCCCCACCCATGACCCATTTTCTGAAGTGGTACAGTTCAGGACCATTATACCATCTTATCTGCTTGCTTATGTGAACCAGATCAAAAATCTTAGAATGCTTGCCAATCCTTAACAAGTCTATATCTTTCATAAGTGAGGTAAGGACTGTAAAACAGTTACTACACAATGAAAGGTGCTACAGGAACTATACTGTTTTTAAATCCACCCTAAAGATGGGTTCTTTGAAAATAAGCAGCTAGACAATAACTTCAAAAGGTAAACAAAAGTGAATAAAGGGTTTGTATGCACTAGTAACTTTTCAAAATAAAAATAGGTCCTGTTTCACAATATGTTTTCTGTTCCTTTCTTAACTCTTAAATTTCATGGTACCCATGATTTAATACAATAAACACCAGAAAATATCCAAGGGTAGGTAAATAAGGTTGACAATAAAACCATTAGGGAAAAAAAACTCTATTCAGAATAGACTTGCCAATAAATGTCAAATGCCTACATTAAACACATTGCATATTTCTTTTAATACATAATCAGGGAAAACAAGTAAAGTTTTAAAATACAAGAAAGTTGCCACATGGCACACACCAGCAAAGGTTCTTCCAGAACTCAGCTAACACAACATGCCTCAACCACAAACCACCAGGCAAACATTGCAAAACAGATCAAAACTTTTTTTTTTTTTAAGAAAGTACAGGAAACTTTCAGGAAGCACACAGAAAATTTGATATCTTAAGCTGTTCAATACTGGCAATGGCTTTAGAGTTCATTAAAGTTTCATATTTGTTAATATGTCAAAACATGATTAAAGTCAATTATACTGTTCCTAACTAATGGCAATTACAATACAAAACTACAATGTAAAAAGTACAAATCTGAAATACTCACAGTCCACATAAAATACTTAGATGAAATATAGTCATTTGGATATAAAAATGAAAGCAACAAAGGTATTTATCAGCAAACTAAAAGCAATAGTTATATCAGAGGGTCTTCAATAGAGTGACACATTTCTCAGAGGCTAAAACACAGTCTGATTAGTCCCACATATAAAAGGCTAATAAAGCTGATCTTATTCTTCCATGAACCTCCAGGGCTAGATTTCAGGTGGATTTCACAGGTTCTGAGCTAACCTGTAACTAACCGCAACTACCCAAAATGGGTAATAAATCCTTCTAATAAGAAAGAGGCATAATTTGTTTCAACTGAGAGTTTCTATGAGTGACAGTCTTTAGTTCAAATATGTTTAGTTGTAAACTTTAGCTATGACTTCCTGGCACAACTCTGTCCCCTTCTAACTGCTGCCTATGAGTCTGCCAGACTAAATTTAATGCAATGTGATGAGCAGGCCAGTTTAAAAATATTGGCTAGCTCCCTAAACTTGTGTCAACCAGCCACTTCATAACTCTGCTAGATTCTTTTCAGGTCTAATTGGATCTGCTTCTGTCACCAAAATGCATTCAAGTTGTTTTTGTACAGATTTCTCCCCAACGAGATCACATACTCTTGAAGTGTAAAATGAAAAATGAACTAGGATTATGAATGAGACCACAACTTGTGACAAACATTTTTTACAACAGTATCTCTGAATTTCCCTAACCGAACCTAATAAACATTTTAGCACCAATATCCCAACATTTATTGCACAACATGGATTGTCCAATTCCAAATCTTACTTCAGACCCCCCATTTCTGATGAACATCATGTTGCTAACACTAAGGCATTTTCAAGTTAGAAATTATAAAGGTAATCACATGGTCCTTCTACAGCATGCAAAATAAATGAAGATATAATACTAATTTTAACAGTGCATTTCAGACAGAGCATTTCTTTTCATTGGATTCTAATATTTCAAATATATATTGGAAGGAAAGAAATCTTTTCCCTGTAATAAATTTGGCTTTCCCATAGATCCTGTTCCCTGCCATGAGTAGTGGGACCATGGAATTCTGAATTAATGAATAACCATCTTCCTTTGACAACATCCCTGTGCATTTTGACTGAGGCAGGTGTAGAAAATACATCTAGCAATTCCATGGCTGATAAGCAATGTAACGTAAACTTACAGCGCATGCTCTTGATCACTGTGCTTTATCAGTTCTCAGCTGTGGAGAATTTTGAGAGTGGATATTATAGTTCATTAAACTGCATTTAATTTAAGCTGGGGCACAACTCTACATACATACTCCTAAAGATTCTAGGTGCAATCTCTCACATCTCCAGTTAAACAAGTACTGATAGCTGGGAATGCGATATTGCCAATCAGATGAACCAACAGAATGACCTGGTATAAGGCAGCATACTATGACCTGGTTTTCATTCTCAGAGGTCGTATGAGAAAATGTGTGAAATACCACAGTAATGTTTTTGTACTGGGATTTCTCCTGGTGGACACAGAAAAAGTTGTTGTGGACAGTATTTCCTGAAACTGGTATTCTAATTCTAGGAGATATATACAGAGCAGTTTGATATTTGTCCTATCACTCGGCACCTATCAACAAAGTGTAATTCTATCGGTTTATTTTTATACAGACAGTTAAAATTGAGAATTAGATCAAGCGCAGGTGCAAAAGCCACAGTCTGCAATTTATTTCAGGCATTTCATGTTAGTCAGTGCTGTTTCCTTCTGCACTTTCACATTAACTGGAGAAGGCACACCTCAGCAATGTGCAAAATACCTTTCCTTCACCACTGAGGGACCACAGCCAGCTGCTGGGCATCTGAGATTAGACAGAACAGCTTCTGACTAATTAGGCCACTGGTTCTAGTAACTGTGAGATTTGGTACCTCTTTCAAATAAGGGAGAAACATGAACTCAGTGAAGAAAAACACGTGAGAGATTTTGTCCAAAAGAAGAGATTCAAATCAGGTCTGCTCTAACAGTACATAAGTATTTAAAAAGTACATTCTACCACATTTAAAATTAGTATAGACAATCCCTGACCACACAATTTGTACATGTTTCAAAATTTCAAAGATGATTGTGACAAATACACAAACTTTCAGTTTGAGCACCAAACTCATACATAATCACTGGAAGTACTGATCTGTACAAATTTTATTTGTAACATTTGTATCCTAAAGAACCTCAGGATAGCATACATGTGGTTATCCCGAAAGGCTCAAAAGAACCCTGTGAGATAGGCGAGGTTAAGTTATGACAGAGAATCTTTCCCAAGGCTATTTGGGGTATGTTCTTGTAGGACTTCCTTTTTTCTAAGCATGCACAACTCCCAGCATTTCCCAGACAGCATGACTGGTTTAAGTATGCTGGGTTTTGTAAGCCTTCTGTCTGTCTAAATATGTGCTGGATTGAACTCTTAATATTTGTGAGGGCTAAGCAAGGATATGAGCCAGGTCTCAGCAGCATTTTAAAGACACTGCTATAGAAAATGTTACTTTAAGGGTCTTTTCCATGTAACAGACAAACAATCTGGACTGAAACAAACCAGAATGCCTGCAAACAGCTCACACAGCCAATTTAATTTTGGTTTCCCAAGATTATCAGATAAAGATACTACATAAAGATGACACATTGGTGCAGCAGTTACTGATGATAATCAAATGCAGAATTTTGCACAGGAGCTACTCTGAATTTAATTCCTAGAAAACCTTTTCATGTTAACGATTTTGATAAATCACAATATTACACTGCTCCAAACATTGTTTCTAAGAATTGCCAAAAGATTATTATTTCCATCTTAATTTTTATTAGGACATTTCCATTCTTTCCTATTCCTTTCAGCTTTTCCATTTTTTCCATATTGTCTTTGCCTAGCCATGAAGCTATTAGAACAGATTAATATTTCAAACCTTATTAACAATCAAATCAGTAGGCCTCAGTTATCAAACACTTTAATTATGAATAAATCAAATCCTTTAAATTCAAAAATAGTTTGAGTCTTTTCAAACATACCAAGACTATAGGCAAAAATATTAATTCATTTCCCATCCAAATATGCCTCAGCTACAACACATTTTTCCCCAATGACTCAGTAGAAATCTAGAATGTTAAACCTACAGAAAATGCACCAAATGCTATGAAGGTGTCAACATCTATTCCAACAGGGAGACCAGAAGGTTAGTGGGAGTGCAACGATGTTCTGCCTGAGTTAAATTCTTACTGTATTTGTGGTCTTCTGTTAAGCATGAGTGGAAAGAGGATGTCATGGTCCATAACATCACCCACCCTAACACAGGACAACAAATTTTGGCAAAGAGAAAAGGAGCGCAGCAGGAATTTAGCGCAGGAAGAATGGAGTTACACTCCCACTAACCTACACTTTACAGAGTCTTCAGTTTTACTGGAAATATCTACATGTTATATTCAAACAGCTGTGTTCAACTTTAAGCCAATGTTTGTGCCATCGACTAACACAAAATTCAGTATATATGCATTACACCTCAGAAGAATTGGGAGACTACCTTAACCTACTTCTCAGACAATTAAAATACTGATAAAGCACTTTACACTCTTTTCCTTTCCCCCTAATACTGCTCATTTATGTTTTCCATGCACACAGAAACATGGTTTGCATGA